TCTCGGTACTTCTCCATCACTTGCCTGCGATGAAGATGGCATCCGTTGTAGACCTTTCGGGCATGAACCCGAACTGTTCCTGGGAGATCGGGACCAGCTCCCGCAGTTTCGAGTCGACCAGTCGCTCGTACAACTTCATGGTATGCGCAGTCAACTTGATCCCGCGGTAGTTGGAGCAGTCCATCGCGTCACCCTTCTGCTTGAAGATGGGGACGATAGTACTTGTTCTCCAGGCATCCGGCATCCTTCCTTCGCAGTTACCGTGTTCAGGAATCGGGTGAGCCATCTTATCCCGTACTCTCCGAGCGCCTTCCATGCCTCGATTGGCACCCATCTGGACCACCGCCTTTCCAACCTTCATCTTCCTTAGTTCTTGACGAACCTCATCCTCTGTCCATAGTGAGATGGGGCCAGCCGTCGCCTCTGCTTGCGAGTTCTTTGTGGGGGAACTCCTCGTTCAGAAGCGCCTGTAGTACTCTTCCCACCTCCTCTTGACTTCGGCTGGCTTCCTCAGGATGGCACCGTTGCTGCTCTTCACGCTCTTCACCACCCTGATGTCTTGAGTAGCCCGATGCCGGGCTTTGGCCAGTCTGAAGACGAACTTCTCTGCGTTTCTGCTTTCCAACTTCTCGTACAAGGCGTCCATTTCCGTGTTCTTCGACGGCAGCCTTAGCGAGCCTCTTGCAACTCTTGTAGGTAGCGAGGTCTTCGGGCTCCGGGTCTTCTGCCAGCGCTTGTATGCTTCCTTCTTCTGCTTCACGACTCGCTGAACCTCCTCGTTCCTTTCGCCTGAGGTCACTCTTCTCCGCTTGGTGCAGCTTCCACCACCGGATTCTCCTCTCGGTTCTTACCCTTGTCTTCTTGGGAGGTCTATGGCAATGTCTGCCAGAGGGGCCTGTGCTGGGAGCCAGTTCTTCGCCAGGGAGTACCTTGATATCCTTCACAGTTTTGAGGGATGATCTTCTTACCAGCACATGGTCGATTTCCGTCTGTCTCCCTCCACTGCTGTAGGTGACCTTCTGAGTCTCCCTTTTCGCGAAGAACGTGCTGCAGATTGCCAGATCGTGGGCTGTAGCCAGGTCCAGGACCCTCTCTCCCTCGGCATCCTCACTTAAAGGCACGCTTTAGGATCTGATTGGCGGGCTCTTCCACGTGAATACGAATGTGTTAATGCGAAATGAGCCTCTAATAGAGCAAAAAGGAAAAAAAATCCGTCGAAAATGCTTTGGTTTACTTACCTTCGTAATCGGATGTGCTAAGGGGAATGAGAGACTAAGCGCGGAGAGGAGAGTATGAGGCGATAGAGCGTGACAGATGAGAGGGCACCAGACAACAGTTTGATCAAGTTTGATGAAGAAAAATCTGCAGCCCCTAGCACTCTTGTAGGTTGATTTCCGTCTACGGAAATGCGACATCTGTGATTGTGCTCTAACGGTCTATCATGCAGATCGAAGGAAATCGATCACCTAATTTTTGCTTGGGCTGTAGCTTTAATGTTGTGTAGGATGTGATCCTCGAATAGAAAGTGAATTAGTAGACCATTGGACGTTCAGCTTCAAGTATTCTTGTATTCGTTGTACTGTTTCTAGATAATAGTCCATGGCCTTGCCCGATTGGTACTTGTCTACACGTAGCTGATGCAGCGGTAGATTTAAAGCGTCATCTCGCAATGCATCAGTTTCATGCTCACGCTCAATTCGTCGGATTAATAATTATCGGAACCAAGTCAGATTTCAAGGGCATGGCAAGGTATGGTTGGTATCTTTAGTCCACATGTTTACTGTTTCCCTTAAGTTGATATAGCAGGTTTCAGTTGTGGCTTCTCACCAACGTTAGATATAGCGTACTCAGGCGACATCACTTACTGCCTATGGGATAATTGTAATGTGCGTTCATTTCACTTGATTCAGATCTAGCATTCATAAAGTTGAGAAATATTGCAGAAGTGGATGATCTACCTAAAGGGAATAAAAACGTTTGATGTTTGCCAATCGCTTTCTGGGATGCACCGGGATGCACCACGTGGTTCCCTTTCATTCAGAATCATGGTTGTATTTTAATGCGATTTTCCCCTATACTATGACATACAGAAACCAGTACTTTTGTCCTCTTAGGCAAAACCGGCATCAGTTAACGGGTGGAGTGAAAGCGTGTGTCGCCTGACCGATACCTAATGCATTTAATCTGAAGATCGCGCGCGTGTTCTGTAGGTGAACATACCGCAGGGTTTCTATTGTGTTCACATGTTGTTCACAACATCTCATTCAAATGGAATGAAATACCCTACTATAGTACGCCAATGGCGAAAAAGCAAAGAAATCCGTCAAAAATAAGCAAAATAGTACCCCTTTGATTGCCCTTTCATTTTCGACCATGGATGAGCGACGGTAAAGAACGACGTTGTTCGGACGTGTTAACCCCGATAGCCGCCATCATGCCAACAAGCATAGTGTTTTGATTGATAAGGCAATACGTGGGCAAGTTGGAAGATACAGCCGCTAGAAGGGAAATGATCATCCAAAATGAAAAGCCAACAGCAAACAGTCCATCCAGATCATCAACAAACTAGTGGGCGTCACGTCACATAGGGCGGGGCGTCGCGCGGGTCCTGCTCAGCAACCACAGCACCTTTCGCCGTGGGAGGACCACACATCGCTTCCTTGGCAGCCAAGTAATTGCTCCGTGTGGCGCAGGTTCTCCCCCGATGCGAAAATTCCTTATCGTAATCGCTTCCTTTAAGTGGATGTGTGAATGCACAACTACTCGTTTGCTCTTGACGCAGCCCTATAAGAAAGTTGCCTGGCGATTTTCACCGTTTCTAGTTTCCCCTTCTTCCTCTCCTCTGAGATGTGTGAAACGATGAAGAAAAGTTGCTAAGGCGTTGCTCCACAACCCTCATCAAATCAGATGGACAAATTATTTGCAGTGACAATTTCTCAGGATCCTCTGCATTGCTTTCGTCCACGTATGATTTACACAGTTGACTTCCTGAGCAGGTGACGAATGTGTTTGTGCATGATGCAATCGATCGGACTCCACAAACAGAGTTTTGGGAGTATGCTATACGAAGTTATTGAAAATAAGGGGAGATTTGAGGTTGGAGATTTATATTATTCACATTTTGAAATTTTTAAGACTTTATACATATTTACTATAAAGAAAAGATAAATAAATGTCCTAGCGGTTTTTAAGTAGATTTACTAAAATTAAAATTTATTGAAATATTCCAGGAAACACGTTCGACACCACAGTGGAGAGAAGTATTGTGCATGTCCGTTTTGCGGTCGATTCTTCTCGCGTCCTGATAAACTTTATGAACATCTTCGCAAACGGGCACCAATACCTGCGGGTAGTGAAAATCAGCACGGTGTTTCTATTTCACGTTTTTGATTCATTGCACTAATCTAGGTTTTGGTACAAAAAAAGCGAAGGGAAGTTATTACGAGCTCATAAGCAGTATGGGGACATGTGTAGACAGAGATTGTGAAAACAGATACTTTAGTGAGGAGGAGCAAATACATGGATTTGAAAGGGAAACATCTACCTCTAAGAACACGTTTCCAGACATAGCAATGCGCGCAATCGGCAACGCATTTGCCACCCGAGGCAGAATGCAAAATCGAAACAATCGCACCAAATTGTCCCTGAGGATGAAGGGAAACAGACAAGATTTGTTTCATATATCATAACAAACAATAAGCGTTCTATTCTTGTCTCTCGTGCTAGTTACCAGTAAAAGATAGTTGGGTCTGCTAGTTAGTTTTCAATTCCACAAAGGACAGCTTGTCTACTTTGTCTTGAACGATATTAGACAGTCATCGTTTTACAGCTTTGTCTCCTCTGTCAGCGTCGTTTCGGTGATGAACGCTCATTGGTGAATCACGTACGGCGCCACATCAATGGCCGTCAATGTCCTACATGTGGATTGGCTGTTCAGCTTCCTTCTGATTTGCACAAGGGTACTCTCACGTACACTTTTCTGAATTTATTCCTCGTTAAAAGTCCTTCTCCAGGCATATATTGGTGAAGCACACTGAAAGAATAAAGACTCTGACTTGTCCGGAATGCGAGAAGAGCTTCTATTGCCCAGTAGGTTCCATTCATCGTACTATCAAAAGGATAAATGGTAGAGGCAGATTTGAAGAGATAACAGACCAACATTTTTTGTATTTTCTTTTACTATTTTTCCGCCACTCATTTTGCTATAGGGGCGAGAAAGGTGAAGTAAGAACAGGTGCTGCTTTACACGCGCCGTCCAGTATTGAATTCCGGGTCATGCACCATCCAGGCCAGCCAAGCCTTTTGTTACTGGGGTTCCGGCTATGGTAGTCTAGTGTGGGAGGATCAAAGCTCTGAGTTGTAGATCGGCTAGTTACTGAAGTCACTGGATCGGGCAGGTCGCATATCAATACCATTACGATTCTGAATGGAATCAGAATGCATGACGCATCCTAAAAAAGGAATTGATCAGTGTCAAACTCATCATCCTTAATCCTTTATTCATCTTTCTATACCTTTCCAAATCAGTTATCTGGAACGTGTTCTGCTTTTCTAGACAGATCTGATCAGGCATAGTGCTGTTCACGCTCCACCAAAAGAACTATGTACGGTTTGTGGTGAACGTTTTCGATGGAAAAAGCAGTTGGATAGGCATATGACGACTCATTGCGAAGGTGGTAATGATTCGGCTTTTTATGCACTGGCTTTGTCTTAATGGTTTTGCGTCTTCTACAAAATGTAAATATTATGATCATAATTGAGCATACCCTTATTTAGACAGCATTGAAGCAGCCGTATCTTTGTCATATATGTGACTCTACTTACGCTACTGGGCATGGACTCACTCGTCATCTCTCGCGAAAGCATGAATGTCCCATTCCTGAAGGATTCAGCCGGTTTGTTCTATCACCGTTCTTTGGTTTTCAAAATGTGAACCTTCTCAAGAAACAGAAAATTTGAAACCCCAATTTGAAGAGGAGAAACAAAAAAACACAATTAGTAATTAGAAGCAACTCGGGAATGGAATACCCGTTTTACTTGAAAGAAGCGTTCACCTACAGAGGCGTGGGTTTTCCAAAATGTTAGACACACAATGAACACTTCCTAAAAATACATTCACCTATAAAACAAGTCGTATTCTGCTAACTTATTTGTTCAAGACGTTCTTGTTCAGGTTCTCATACAAAAAATGTGCAGACGGCTGTTATCGGCTGCAGACTCGTAAACTGGTTCGCACTGTTCTGTACGAGAAATGACATACTCCTATTTTTCACGTTCAAATTAACCTCTTACCGGTAACGATGAATCTGTTCCATTTGATAATGCTGGTGTAAAATGTTTTTTGCTCTCAAAAGAGTTTGGCTAAGCATTATTTGTGCTTGCTCCTATAAACATATCACAGGTACTTGTGCATTTTTTGAAGTTTTCTGTTTATATCCAGAGCAACAGTTGTTGAATAAAACCTTATTCATTTCTTGTGTGAGTTCACACTGGTTGCAATACCCTAGTGCTCCATATTTTCTCACTTGTACCCTTCACATTATATTTAGAACGTTGCATGGTTTCTAATAGGTAATGTGGACGTCGCGAATAGCATCGATAGCGGCTCGCTTACCGAAGTCTCTGGGTCGACGTTATTTGCTTTCAGAAGCGTTTTCTTTGGAGAAAGTGAGAGTTCTTGATCCCGTAATCGATACAGGCTGTGTTTCTTGCCAAACGCATCATTTTAGGAATGGGCTTCTCGACATGCTGAAATGACCAAATTAGGATTGGGTGGTGATTATGAATGGATAAGTGCTGTACAGAAGAAATTCATCGGAGGCGGTTTAGCAAGGTGAGCGAGTGAATGCAATTTCTTAAGCATAGTGAGAAGTGTCCAGCTGGTCGATATCCGGCGCTTACCAGGCACGACACTGCTGAAAGCACTATCAGTAACCCTTTGCGCTGAATAATAGGTATCGCTTCCTCCCCCTCCCCCTCTTCTGCCAAATGAACATGCCGGCCACGACAATGTAATGAGCACTGTACGGTGTGTAGCGCTCTCATCTCCGCTTGTCGGACCCAAAAATAATAAGGCAGAAATGTGGCTTACTCCCACGACGGGCGGAGCATGGTTCGTAATAAGGTTGCGAGATAGCATGGAGGTCGGCCAAACTGTGGAAGGAAACTAGCGAATCAAGACGAAAGTGAATGCTTTTGATGGCAGAGTTTGTACGGTTTAGGGTGGGCCAAGTAACAGTTCCAGATGTCGCGTTTCATATCGCTGAAGCTGTCCAAGGTAAGCGTCAGACTCGCGATTGCAGTTGCGATTGCAGTCGTGAGTGGAGCGGATCCTTGTCGATCCCTGTGTTTTGCATTGTTTCGCCCATCCCGATTTGCGACTGGCA